GTAAAATAGCCCATATTTAATAAAGTATCAGCACTTAAAGATTGGCAACATTTGATGATGTCTTTAGATGATTGCCATTATACCTCTTGCTATCAACAAACAATGCTTCTTTATGAGAACCAAATCAACATTCATGTCTCCTCATCACGTAAAAGATAAATTGTTTTTTTGAAAAAAAAAAAAAATTTTGAATCACGTCAACAAAAAAAACTTTTTTTGTATGGTGCAGGACACCTAGTCCCTACAACTTTCTGCGCCACAGCGACAGATTTGGGAAAAAATTCCCAATCAAAAATGCAATAAAATTTTTATAGTCACGTGTTTTAAAAATAGATTTGGCACGCTGCATTCTCTATATTAGTATCACGTGATAAAAGATATGCAATACAGATTTCAAAATTTTCAATTCTCCAATTCGTTCATTTTTAATATAAAAAATTTGCGTGTAACACGTCACTTTGGGGATTAATATGCAAATTTGTTAAACTTGTGCAACTTTAAGGCTTAATTCCTCCACAACAACATGACATATCAACAAAATGAAAATGTCATTTTGTAGAAAAAGGTCTTAGCTTCAAAATGACATCTTGTTTTTTTTGGTCACATATTTCCATTTTTGGAGGAGTTAAAGGATTTGCAAGACTAATAAAAGTTGTAGGGACTAGGTGTCCTGCACTATACAATCAAAAAAATAGGGGATTGTACTTATAAAGAGGGTTACATAACATAGCGGGCTTTCTCTGTGATTGGTTGATAATTTATAATATGCCGATCGTTTTTATTTATTACTTCCAAGACAATAAATAATATAAAAAATAGATAGATAGATTCTTAACAATAATTTTATTTGTAATTGGTAATAAATAATTCAGCAAAAACATTAATGTGGGAACTTTTGCTATAATAATAATTGCAATGAAAAAAATATATAATAAAGTACACATATGGTACAAATATCCCATATCAAAATGACTAATTTGAGAGAAACAGCATATCCCACCCATCACATAAAGCAATATGTTGAATGAAATTTGATGTTTGATATAATCGATAAATGTATCATTTACCCACTACCTACAATATATTAAACTATTATGCGATTCTTATTAAATATTAAGTAAATTATAAATATTTAAATTTGTTCACGCATTCACCATAAAACTAATAACACACCAGACATAATCACAACCATTCTACAACCATGGTGTATACCTTCTTTTTGTCCAGTGATCCTTTATGTTATTTAGATCTATAGAAGAGTGTAAGAGTTATATGATTAACGTTTATTAATGTACCTTTTCAGCTTTTTATAAAAAACAATAATTTAATTTAATTTAATTTAATTTAAATAAATAAATAAAACGTTTTATTTATTCAAAAACATCTCAAATCACTAACCAGAATATCAAACAGAATCTAAACTCTCTATTAAGATTGTTCTTTAC